GTTAAATAATGCGAATTAACATTATAATAGATTAACATATTCCAGTAGCCAAAGTATTTATGTAATGTTAGTGAACTCTTTTAGTTAACTAATACAGTTGTTACCTTTTTTCCTTTGATTTGCATTTCCAAAGTAAAATCCTAAAAATTTAGATAAATGTAAATGAGCATAGTTGCATTCAAAGGTGCTAGAGGCATCTTTTTTGGTTGTTTAAAACCTCTGATTATAAAAGACCCCTTGACAACTTTTTAAAAGTAGCATAATTGATACAGAAATATTAACATGGGATAAGTTGCTTTGAGTGCACACACAGCTTATGTGTGCTGTGAGAATATTTGCTAGAGCCGCCTCTGGCATTTCAGCATCCTCCCTGGCAGCTGCAGACAGCAATTTGTTTAGTGGCTTTCAAGGGTAAGATGAGAAACTATGGCTATCTAAAATTAAAGAGGGAGTTTTCTACCACAATAAATGGTAAGTGTTTTAATTAATGTTATCTCTGTATGAATACTTTTAAGGTTTTGTTCATAACAGACATTTCATTTTTTTTTTCCTCATTTTACAGTTCTGTGTAGATGAAGTGAAACTAACAATAAAAGAGCCTGGGTGTTTTTAGGTAGAGATGAATTTTTTTCCCAATTAAAAATGCCCAAACAACTAACTGAATATTCCTTTAATTTGTGATGGTTTCATGAAGATTAGGTATCCATCAGGCATGACATGTAATTCAAATCTTCATCCCTTATGAGTAGCAAAACCTTCAGAGATAATGAAATCTTCCCATCATATGATTACCTTTGTTAATTTTGTCCACACACACATTTGTGCATGGAGAGGTATAGCAGAACTGATCCTGCAACACTGAAACTGTTTGGAATTAATGCCATGGACGTTGACTTGAACCCTCTGGTCTGCAAGTCCGTATGAAGTAAGCTTTGCAAAGTTCTGTTCACTTAGCAGTAAAGCTTATTGTGCTTCCTGAGTAAAATACATGCAGGTTTTTTCATTATGAGCACAGGAGAGGGTAAGTAGGGAAATACTGTACCTGAACTGCTGGATTTTCCTGATGTCTTTGGAGAATGTCTATACTAATATAAATCACATACATTCAGCTTGACTAAGATTCAACAGTGGGAAATAGAAATTTTTACCTTTTTTTTTTCAGGAAAGTTGAAGTCCGTGATACTTGTTTATATTCTATCTCCGTTTTTTCAATTAAACTTAAGTGAATCTGAAGTAGCTAGATTTCGTCTAAATCCACACAGCTGAGGAAACCTGTGCTTGCTCTTTCTCTGAATTTTCACTGGGGGGCTTTTATCTCCCCCTAATCCCACCATTTCTGTCAGGACATAATCTCTTTCTCAAATTTACATTTTAATTACAAGGCCAGCTGAACTAGCTAAAATCAATAATGTCAGCATTCAGCAGCCTAACTTCAGCTGAAACCCCAGCCTCTCTCTTTCCTTCTATCGATTTATCTTGTGAACACGGTCTACTTTATTGCTTCAGGCAAATAGGTGCCATTTAGTCAATTTAAACAAAAAAGGGGATTTGAACATTTTTATGATTCTTTCTAAAAGCTGCTGCTGGAATAGTTTGAACCCAGGTACTGTACTCGTGTGAAAGAAAATACACAGGACAGCAGAATGCTTGAGAGGAATTTTACTTTTAAAACTGCACTTAATTCCATCTATATCTTAAAAGCAAAACAACAAAAAAAAAACCCACCCTGACATTGGATTCAGCTAAGGCTGTCTGCATAGTGACTCTTCTCTTTATCTTGTTAGCAAAAGCTAATTTTATAGTCAAATGTTTTTTTAAAAATCCACAGTAGAGGTGGTGTTACTGATGTGGTAGTGTATTTACCTTTAGCCATTTTTCTGTTAATGGTTTAAACTAAGAAATCAATGGGAAAATATTTTGTTCTTGTAACTCTTAAGAATTCCTATATTGATCTTTTGGATGTGATTTTATCTATCTAAATGTCACATTGTCCGTTTATCTCTCTTGCCTTTTCTGTGTGTTGCTGACTGCTTGTCTGTGCTGTTCACATCCTCTTCCCCTCCAACTAAGTCGATGTAGTGAATGAGCAATCATGCTTTTCATTAACATTGTAGGAAAAATTGGAATAAAACTAGGGTTTCCTTTTAATACATATACACATATTCTCTCCGAAGAGGAGAAAAGGTGTGACATATACCTGTTACCTTCTGACTTTGAGGCAGTTTGTAAATAGTGCTCTCAAAACTGTTGATTTAAAAAATGTTTTTCAGAAAGATATTCTTGTCCTAAAAACGAAAAAAAAGAAAAGCAATTCTAAATGCTAAATACAGTCTAAACAGTTCTACATTACAGATAAAGTCTATCACATGTTTTTCTCCACTAACCTTGTTCATGTCAAAGGGTCTGTTTGTCTGTCTGTAACTGTTTCAGTCATAAAAGGTAGTTTACTCTTTCAAATCCTGCTGATTCTGAAGTGTGGTTATAGGAGAATCTTTTGGGATAATTGTTTCACTTTGATACAAAGCACCTGAGAAGGGCTTTTTCCCCTTCTAACCTGTGACAGGAGCTGAGATGGAGTCCTATCCTGCCTCCTTTCCAGATACATAAATTCGAGATTGCTCCTTTAATATTTCACTGAAGTGCTATTTAAAAAAACCACATTTTTGTGGAGGCACCATTATCCCTCTTGAACAGCAAGTCCACAGCCTAATAAATGTCATGAGATCATTTCTTTTGCTATTTAGCCTCGATATTTCTCCACTTAGTTCCATCCAATTATGCTTAATTATCATCTCCCTATTGCTGGTCCTTCTGCCAATTTTGAGACCTTTTTCCAAAGCACCATTTTTTTTAACAATGTTCTTTAAAGCCTTGTTGACTTTGGGAAGGGAAGTTGGATAACAAGGTGAATGTGACATGTTCATTGCTTTCATTAGAGCATGTGATGTGGGCATGACTGAGTAAGGGAGTAGTAGTGTCAGGCATGTTCAGCAGCATCACCAGCCAACAGCAAAGTGGCCTGTGTCTGCCTACAGCTGGTAAAAAACTTAAAAAGGAGTGATTCTTCTTTGCATCACAGTCCATGCTAACTTTAGTTCCCAGGAAGTACTGGACAGCTCAAGGAGCACTGTCTTTAAAGATGCACTGCCTTAGAAACGCGGGCTTTGGTTTTGGGGTGTTTTCCAGAGAGCAGAACAGGGAGTCGGGGAAGATGTGGGTTTAACACTGGCTTCAGACTGTGGTCAGTGTCTTTTGTCCCCTCTGCAATGCTTGGTGCCTGCCAGTTTTCAGACAGTTGGGTATTGCTGAAGTCTTTCTGGGACAGCTAGCAGACTGGCACTACTGAAATACCTACTCTCAGATGTGCGTTCACTTCTGTGGGGTATCTACATGATACTCAAGTAGCCTTTTCTTGGGAAAGGTGGAATGCATCAGCCTGCCAGAGCTGGGTCTGGTCTTTCTATGGACATGGAAAAGTACTACCACACACAGGTTGCATCATGGGCACGCCGTCCTCAACCGTCTTATTAAAATGGCCCACGTTTCTCTTTGTCATACACTGGATAAGCAGAAGGAGTGTATTGAGCTGTCGTGGGAGAGCGAGGAAAAGACAGAGAAGTCTCTATGAATGCTTATTAACTGCTGATGGCTAGTGCTCTCTCGTCCTCTTTCCTTTTCCTTTTAGCTTTTTTCAGGGGTGAAGCCTTGCATTTCAGTCACTTCTTTTATAAAAAGGCTTTCTGATGGGGACAATGTAGTCTGTTACTTTAGTGCGAGGGATCACATCTTTCCATTTTTAGCTGGTGTTGGCTGAAAAGTTCTTGTTACTACTGCCAGCTAATAGAGTTGCTTCTCTAACTCAGCGGGCAGAGGCGTGTGCTCTCTGTCTGCTCAGCCTGTCTAATTGCATCATTACAGTCCGTGCTGACTGTCTAATCTAGCTGCATAAAGTAATTAAGTTGCCCCACCACTGAGCTGCTGGTGCTGAACATCAGTGCCTGGTACTGCCTTGCAGTAGGCTTGTTCCTCAGGTGTAGCTCTGGCATTTACTATCTCTTGAGCGTGCTCTGTGGGTATATTCATTGCTTCTGCCAGCACTTAGATTTTTATCTTGGCAAATCGTGTGGTTTAGTATCTGTGAAAGAAGAATGTTCTCTAGATAATTCTGTTTGCAGATATATTTAGGAATCAAAACTCGACTATTGTCAGTGATGCTGCCTCTTAACAAATCCGGAAGGAAAAAAAAGAGCTGTTTTATTTTATGTTCTCAGCTCTGAAGGGTCAATATGGTAGCTGAGAATCATCAAAGAACAGGGATGTGCCTCACACACACTTTGTTTTTTCACTGGGTGTGCCTCCTTGCCAGCCCTGCCAGGTGACGATGGTTCCCGTTCTTGTCAGTCGTGTTGCAGTGAATCCCCCGCCCAGAAGTGGTTTCTCTTTGCCAGGCTGTAAGAGTTTTAGTGGGACTTTTTGCTGAGGTGCCACAAAGAATTAATCTTAGCACACAGAAGAATATGGATGTATGCCTTTCCTTTTGCTTTCTACTGATCTTGGATTTATTTTGGGACTGTAGGTGTTAAAAACCAGTAGTGCCAGTACTTCCTTTCTTCTATTTTACCTTGAATACAGAAATGACGTACCAGCAAGCGGATGTGACAGTAGAAATTCATGTACAAAAAGCATATTGCAGTTTAGCCAGACATACATTGTCGAAATCCTTCTTTCCAAGGTGAAGGAACATCATTCTTTATTGTCACACCATGTCATACAAATTTAAAAGTCGATTTGCTGTGGGTAGTTATTTAGTATGTTTCTGTCTCAAAATAAGAAAAAGTGTAACATGCAGAAATACCACTCTTGTCTGTGAGTGGGTTTGACATCTAGTGCAAACTGAAAGCAATAAGACCTGTAATCAGCATCCTGAGCTGTTTGGCTCCACTGTGAAGTGTTGAGGGTGAGAGAAATGAATCTTTCCTGAACGTCGAGTTTTTTTGCAGGGCTGGAGCCCCGGTCACCTCCAAAAGCACCAGTGAGGAAGACATCAATAGGACCAGCTCTGCTGAGCTCCCACACCCGGCTGAAAGAGAATGAAGACGAACTTGACCCAACCTGTGCAGCTGCCACACTGAAGCTTATTAGAGACAAACTACCAAAGTTACCACCTCCACATGCCAGGTGATCTTTGCTTTAGTTCTTGTAGCAACCTCTTGCTCTTGCTTGTGTTTATTGGTTATGAAAGCACACATGAAAGTGCTCAGGAACTAGCCAAACTGTTAAGGCTGTCTTGGTTTCACTTTGAAGTTACAATTCTTTTACTGAGATGTACATTCACTGCTTCATATTTGGGATTTTGTCAGTGATTGCGCCAGGATCTTAAGGAACCTTTTACTACTCACTTGATTTAGGTTTTATTTGGTGTAAATGGCCTCTATGAAAATGTAAAGTATTCCCTTCTTTCCTAACAAAAAAATCCATGCCCATTTATTGGGATAATTTTTGGTTTGCAACTAAACAGGACGTATCCTAATACTAAACTAGAAAGCAGTTTCAACCATTTCTTGGTTCCTAGTGACTTATGCTATCTGTGCAGGCTGGAGGGGTGTTTTATTGGGTCCAAAGACGCATTTGTTGTCAATCCTATTCGAAGCTTGGTGAAACTCCAGCCTTGTCTAGCATTATCTCTGATTTGTGGATAAGACTGGAGCAATCTACTTAGTGGCATGTTCCTGAAAAGACACTTCTGCATTGGCCAGGAAAGCCCTCAAAACCTAGTAAGCCGGACGTAGTCTCAGAAAGAGAAAGGAGTTTGCTTCATTAGAACTCTAAAGTTTGGAGTATTCAGTTGGATATTTTTATTTTTAATCTTTAAAAAGTTAATGTTTCAGCAAGGTGACTAAGACCATTTGCAGCTCTATCATTGACATCCAGGGTCTCCGTAGTAGTACTGTGGTTTGTGAGAACTAATGAATTCTGTAGCGGTGTTGCACAATGAGTATTATAAGTCTGCAAGATGGAATTTTGTCAACAAAAGCAAAGATTATACTGTCTGTGACTGCTATGCCAACATGGGCATGAGTTTACCGAAGCATCATCTTCCTAAAAAAGGTTTACCACATCAGTAGCTCTTGTTCCAGTACAGTATGTATGATCCACTGCTGCCCTCGTTAGATCTCTAGGCTTCTACACCCATGGTATAATAACATTTTATCTAGCTTTAGCTGAATGTGCAGTTTAAGGTTCATAGTGGAGCGTGCTGTACTAAGAGTCTGTGGTGTTGTGATCTGTATCCTCTGTATCTGTCCTTACAGGACAACCCTATAAAAGTAGTTGTAGTCTTAGATCTAAGATAATGTTAGTGTTGATGTGAAAACCTAATGAAAAAAGAGAAGTTGTTGTGATCATTGCTGTTTTGTATTGACTTTTCATCAATTTTCTCCAGTGACTCTGCAAGTACTGAGCCAGCAGCCTTGGAAGAGCCTGACAGTAAGAGAAGAAAACTAGAAGAAGAAAGAGCTAAAGCTCCCCTCATGCCTTTTGGATTAGATCTTCACTACTGGGGCCAGGATCAGCCAAGTGCTGGGAAGATTCTCAAGTAATGCTCTTTTTCTTTTAAGACAAATTAAACAAATATATAGATTTACTTGTACTCAGAGGTCATGCAGTGGGATGACTGCTATTTCTTTTGATAATTACTTTTCTTCTTTCCCTTCTGTTGTGGGACTCATAAAGTCAGAAATTCTACCTTAAAATGTTATTTGTTTAGAGAAGATGTGATACTAATTAAATATCCTTTGATGCTTCAAAGCACTTTTTTTTTCTGCTCTTTTTCATGTTTTCAATGCTGTATTATTTACAGCATGGCAGCACTTACCCCAGTTTAAATTGGTACCTCATTATGCAAAGTGCTATGCAAGTGCTTGATAGACGGTCCCTCTGCTGGGGACTTCACAGTCTAAATAAATAGCAGACAAAGTAGGAGAAAGATTTGGGAGGGTGTCCGGGGTATTTTTCCTGACTCTACAGAATGGTAACTGAGGAAATTGATAGGCTTGTTCAGGCACAAAAGAAATAGGTGGCAGTTACAGGATTTGAATTCGGATCTCTCACTTTCCATTCTTGTGTGGAAAGGTTTTGTGTTTCTTGGACGTGAAGCATTGCTGGCTTGGAGAAAGCTTTAGCAATGCTGGGGAGAATAGATTGTAGGTATACATCAGAACTCGTTTCTGGCAGTCAGGTTTTAAAACCCCTTTTCAGCACTGGTATTTTTACATGAAAGTTTGGATGCAAAGTCTCTATGTATAAATTTCATTTAAGTCCACCAGAATTTTAGTATCAGTGTGTACCATACCTGTTTTAGAAAAGGCACAAACCATTGACTGGCTGGGTTGCAAATCAAACTCTCATGTTCCCAGTAGTATTACTTCAACTTTGTTTTCTTATCAAAACAAACCAAAAAAAAGCAACCCATGATCACAGTGTGAAGATGGTGTTTGCAGAAAAAAAGCAAAAGGAAAGCGTTGCCCCTGTACCTGACTGTACAAAGTGCTGAATATGTTTTAAATTATTGGAAGGCACTGAAATTTGATACATAATAGTGCTTGAACACAGTCACTCTAAGCGTTGGGTTCTGTCTCGTGTGGTGTAAGCTTTTCAAAGCCTATAAAATGGTTAAGATTTTCAGCAGGGCTCTAAGAAGCATTTGTCTGTGATAATGCCAAAAAGGTAGTAAGGCTTTATTTTACATTGCAAATGAGTTATTCAAGTCATAAGTGAAATCAGAAGCATATTTCACTGCCTGTCTGCCTTGTGCTGTACTGTTTTATTTTTATGCTTTCCAATAAAATAGAGGGCACACTTCTGAACCTTATAGTCTATAACTACAGATATGCCAATCTAACTAAAGATAATTTAAGTAACTCAGCACACACAATACCATTGACCCTTGGGTATAAAATACATTTCTTGAAAAATTAAGGTAGTCTTTTAACTTTTCTATGTGCACACATACTGTCTGTATAAGATGTCTAGGGAAAAAAAGCAAACCCAAAAAAATAGGCAGCACATTTGGAATATGTATGGAATTTGAATTCCTAAAATCTGAAGTGAAAAGTCTTTCCTCTTCACCTATTTAACACTGCACTTACTTAATTACTTGTTTTTACAAGGTTTACAAATTTGTTTACAAGGTTTTACTTGTCACACGCATCATTTATTCAAAGATCTAATGTTCTGCCTTTTTAAAGTGTTGCTTAAATTACAACAGCAGGAAATGAGAAAACTTTAAGATTGAGCACTGTTTTGTTCTTTTTTCACCTGCTTGTAAGTCACTCTGGGAGAAAATAATTTATATGCTTGTAGTAAACAATAATATTTATTAATCAGGAATCAGGCCGTTTTAAGTCTAGTTCTGAAATACCAATCGATACGTAGAGTAAAACATAATTTTAGTTTCCTTGAGATTTGTTCGATGCATGTTTTTTGGGGGGGAAGTCAAAATATTAAATAGACCTTTTCCCTAATGGGAAAGGTTGGTATGCACAATTGTCAAATGCTTCTTCATTGTCATGTAACTGTAATTTGATAATTTAGAGGGGGAGGGGAGTTCAGACCACCAAAGGACATGAGAATTTTACTGAAAGATTCTGTAAGACTACTTTCCACATAGAAATCCTGCATGGTGTCTCTTTAGGAATGCTTTCTCCTCCCTGTGTCTGTAAGGTTAGTAACACAGAGCTGGCGGTCAGTCTTGTTTTCAGGATTGTATTAAAACTAAGCAGATAAGAAATTTATTTCATTCTTTTATTTACTATCTGTTGTACAATCCTGCCACATAATTTCTGCAGCTAAAATACTGTACCATTCAAACCTTTGGCTAAAGTCATATTGACATATCTATGATAAGATTCTTAGAGCTTTTTTGTGTAGGCTATAGTTTGCTGAATTGTATGATTGAAAACTTTTTTTTTTAAACTAAAAATTGTGGAAACATATTACTACGTTTAATGTTGAACTACCCTCCACTATAACTCTTTTGCCTTTATCCCCTAATTCACCAGAAGAAAGTTATTTGTACTTTATGGCATGTTAGAATTCTGGCACTAACGAGGTATATTTGATGAAGAAATTATTGAATAGCATGAATTTAACTAGGATTTTACTTGTTGAATGTTTTTCTGATGATTTGAAGAATCATAGAAAGGCTTCAAAATGCTTAATCCCTTTTTTAACCTAGTTCTAATCTCTTTACACAGTTTTAAATGGTCAACTATTGCAGTAAACCCAGCAGCTATAGGTATTGTAGGTTGCTGGTCAGATAATTTCCTGCACTTTTTGGTTTTTTTTCCTTGTCATCTGCTAAAAACTTTCTTAGATAAAATATGTCAAAATTCTTCAGGCCCACTGAAGTAGTTCTCTTAAGTATTGGCTTATGTGCTTTGCTGAATTGAGATTGTTGCGATTAGTGAAGCCAGCGTTCACGTATATACGGCTCTGCAGCCTACAGAAGGCAAACTTTCAGAAGTAGGAATGACACCCAAGGATGTTAATGAGTGAGAGGAATTGAATATGGATAGAGAAAATCCTCTCAAATCAGTCTGGAACTGATCGTGTGGAAGAAAGGGATTGTTGGTGTCCTTTGTGAATTCTAAGTCCTTATCAAGACATCTGTCATCTAGATATCTCCATTTTGCTTGTAATAAACAGCATACCTGCAGACTGGCATTTCTTTTTTTTTGCTTAGTTTAGCAGTAGTTTTTTCCTTTTAACTTCATATTTCCCTAAATTTGCGATAGGATTGTTGTTTAACTTCAGATGTCTTGAATTAGATATCTGAGCTTAAACTGGTCACCCTGATTTCTTTTCATAATTAGGAGAAAGAAACATTTACCATCAGAGGGACATTCATTGCACCCTAAAATTAGCATCTAAAACGAGTCAGGTCATTACTCTCTGGGGTGGCCTGTTTCTCATTATAGACTGTTGGCAGCCTGGGGTGGCTAAAATGAAATTATATGGATACTGTTGAGAAAATTTGAAAATACTACATCACTCAAGGGTCATTGCTCCCCTTCTCTCCCACTCCCCACATCCACTGGCATGATACGAATCTTCTTTACACCAGATTAACAGAGAGTGTATTTGCCTATATGTGTCTGCAAATATAAGTAAAATCTCTAACTTTAAAATAGATTTTCAATGGATTAGCTTCATTTTCTAGAGGAACACCCATAAGTTTCTCAGACTTATGGACACTGTCTAGGAGAACCTGGAAGAAAGAATCTCTGTAAGGCTCAGCTAATTGCTCTCTTCCTTGGTCCAAGTATATAGCAACATATTCTGATTTCAGTGTCTGCTTCTCTGCTGCTACAGGAGTACAGCTACCAGGAATAAGGTCAGACAAGTTAAGGTCAAACTGTTTAATCGCAGAAGTATTTTGTTATGAAGGACGTTAACTACAGAATTACAAAGTTATTCGCTGAAACGGGGTATGGGATAACTGACTCTGAATGTCAGATCACACTAGAGCTAAGGCTTGTAGTAGGTTGGCGGGTTAAACAAGAAATCAATACTAGGCAGGCTTTGGTGATGTTTTAAAAAGACCTTCATAATACAGAGTCATAAGAAAGAACGGTAGATTCTTAGGTTTTTCTGATTCACTTGTAAAGCTTCCCTTCCTTTTACATGTAAGTTTACCACAGGATAATACTGGCGTCTTTATGTGCTTTCTTACAACTTTGTCTCAATGATTTTCATTCATCGTTTTCCCAGATTTACTTCTGAGCATCGATTTTGGGCACCCAGTGAAGTAGAGGAAGAGGTGGAAAATAAAGAAATAACTGAAATGTTAAAAACTAGGTATATAACATTTGCTGGCAAGTTTGAACCAGTGAAACATAAATGTCGAGCACCAATGCCCGATGGAAGCCTGTGTGAAAGACAAGATCGGATTAAGGTGGGTACCAAGTAACTTAGTTTGCAGCATTTGTGCTACGTGGAGAAGATGTCGTGAAAACATGTCCGTAAAAGTTTATTTCGCGTTTTAAATATAGCTCGAGGGAGTGAAAGAAAATTGTATCTGGAGAAGTTTGCTGTTGATATGTGCTTCATACAGGAAGCATCCTTTCTGTAAGAAAGCTGTAAACATTTAAAGAACTCTCAAATATTTTTTGCATTCGTCATAGGTATTTATATTATATTTATTACTATGGTGTCTGAGTAGCTGACAGTGAAGCAGAGACATTTAGTTGTTTGCTGAAGTTTTCATCATTTAGAGGCGTATTTAATATTAACTGTTTTTAGAAATGAGAGTGCTTGAGGGGCACAGAGACAAATTTTATTTACAAATTAGGTTTTACGAAAGCTAAATCCTACACAACCTCGAATGATGAGCCCTATTGAGCAGAAATACTTTACTTAAATACTTTGTTCTAATGTCCCTGTTCTTCCTGTGTTACCTGAGTTTGGAGGATCTGAATGCAATAAAATACTTCAAATGGGATCGTTACGGGGTAGGGATATAACACAAACAACAAAATACAGTGCAGCATTGGTGCCCTGGTTCCAGACCTGACAGGATGTACTACCTGGCTTCTTGAAATTAGATATTCATATCACAAAGAGCTCATTTCTTTTAGATTCTGGCTAAATTACACACATGATGTCTGTGGGATCCTGATGCTTTCTGAGAGGGGCTGGGGATCAAAGTGTAGAGTTTTGTCACTTGATTCCAGTGTCTGGCTTTAAGTTATGTTGAATAACAAATAAGCGTTTTCTTTTCATTCAGAAGTTTTGAAGGTTTTTTTTTCCCCCTTTCTTTCCGAAGTGCCCTTTCCACGGAAAGATAATTCCTCGGGATGAAACTGGGATTCCCGTTAATGCAGAGGACAGAGCCAGAGAAGAAAAGATGCGGTTTGATAAGCAAGCAGCTCAGCCAGGTTTGTGTCTACATGGCATCTTAAAAAAAAAAAACCAACCACAAAACCAAAACTATAAATATTAGACAGAGGTGGGAGACAAGCTTTAAATGTAAGCGTAATATCTTTATTGTGTATGTGTTTGTATATATATTGTATCCAATATTTGTTTGTATATATATTGTATCCAATATTTACAATATCTACAATATATTTGCTATCCATATAATAATTGTATGTATTGTGTTTACATTGTATCTGTATCTTGTATATATTGCATCTATATGTAGGTACAGTGTGGATACAAGTTGGACAGCAATCTCGGTGTACAGTTGGACAACGAATGAGGCGGGCTGTAAGGAAGAAGAGAGCCCATTCTTCTGTTGCTAAAGGCACAGATTGAGATCCACAGAGCTGGATCGTATTTCCGTTTTGCTCCTAACTCCATTCTCTCATTTCAATTCCTGTTGATTTTAATTTGCAGATCATTTGCAGTGATTCTTGCTTACATGATAAATATGGATGCAGGTGTACACAGAAGAAAGTTAACATTGCATTTGTTCTTTATTTCCAGTAGTTATCATAATGTTCCTAACACTTCTCAGACAGACGAATTATAGCCTTTATCTTAAGGAACATGTTTATTAAGGACAATTAAACTTATTTCCTGGGAAATGCTTGGCAGTTACTGTTCCCATGCTTCTGAAAATAAGTATTCTAATCTTGCTGGTCCCTAACAGTTGTGGTTTACATAATGTAACGATAATATTATTAGGGTCACTGTGTTAAAACAAATATTGGCAAAGTGGGTTTTTTAATCACAGTATGGAAACTTGTCTTTCCTGTATCAATTCACATCTATCATATTCTGTGTTTCCTATGTCTACTCATCTACTACTTGTGTTTTAGAAGGAGAATTCTTGGCCTTGTTGTGCTGTGCATCTGTGCAGCATTGCTAGAAAATACTCTGAGCTAGAGAAGCCCTCACCTTGGCCTTTACTTTATTGGCATTTTAACTAGTCTGGATGTTCTAACAGGCATGATGTTTGTGATGGGCTTGAGGAAGAGAGCAAGCAGACCCATGCTGTTTCATTGTTTACAGTTTATTGGGCAATCTTCTGGATTTTGTTTTTGAACAATGGGGATGGGCAACAAAACTATTGGCCTTCTCCTTGAGTCCTGGCCGCTGCTTTCAGGTGTGGAAAGCTATGGAGGGAAGGCTCGTCCTTCACCAAGATTTTTTGGGCATTTTTAGCCAGGATAAAGCTCTAGACTGCTAGGTAAGGAATGCAGGTGATGATGAGAAAGACAGCAAGGAATGAATACACAGGCAGGAAAACTTCCAAGGGGAATAAGAGACTTTTTTGTAATAGTACAACTAAACTTTATAGTGATGGACAGAAGATAGATTTTCATAGAGCACTGGGGGCACTGCAACCAGGAAGCTACTGGAGGTTGATGGACTGCAAAGGAAGATGGGAGAGAGTGATCTACCCAGCAAAGACATAAAGTGTAATTGGAGGGGACAGATTTGTTTTCAAAGCTTTTATTTAATCTACCTTCCTCCAGCAGGTCTTAGTTTTCTCTGGTTTAAGCTATTTATTCTAGGTGAGTATTCCACATTCTAATTTAACTTACTCTTAGGCTTTATCATTTTGATATCTTCTAGTATAGTCCATTTAAGAAGGAGAGGGGCAGTTAGTTCTCCCTTAAGCTCTGACTGACTCAGGATTTCACCAGTTTCACAGTTATATGTGCCTGAACCTTCCATACCCTCTCAGAGCATAAAGAACAGTTGTTGATCTGTTCTCCAGAAAGGTCTATGCCAAATGAATGTGCATTTAAACACACAACTTACCCACCCAGTTTCCTCTAATACTGATTTGGCCATCTTTGAGTGACTGTGCTTGGCCATGACCAGCGCCACGCGAATGCAGCAGTTACCAGGCACCTTCTGGTGCCTGCGGGTGTCCAAGTGCTACATTTGCAGGCAGTTTCCATCCTTATCCAGGTGGAGTGAAGTGCCCTAAACTGACATCCAGCCAACAGCATGGGCACGATTGGACTGTCACAGCGAAGCCAGGCCAGGGGTGTGGATGTTACGCTAAAAAGGCAAGTTCCCAACTTAGTTACAACAAATTAAAACCAGCAAAAGAAACTAGGTGTTCTTGAGGGACTAGTTTCAAACTAGAGACTAATACTCTGGTATAAAAATCACTTGCACTGAAAAATATTGATTTTTTTTTTTTTTCCTGTGAAATTGCCATTGCTGGAGGCTAGACATAATATTTATTTTTATTACAGTGTCAGCGTGGTGTTGTTAGAGGCTTCTCACCTCTGGCCCACACGGATGTGTATGTTAGTCCCAAACCAGTGTTGACATTGCTGTGTTGCATTATTGAGTGCCGTTGTTAAGCTGAGATGTCATACAAAGGTCCATCCCATCTGTCTGGGGAGATACTGAACAAGCTATGGCACTTAATTTATTGGACAAAACCTTACAGGTTTCTAAAGCCATATATATACCAGCTGTCACTAAATACTTTTATCCGCTGGTTTTTGTTGCTTTCTTTTTTCTGTACCTAAGTATTTTTATATTTGTTCTATAGTGTTTTCATCAACCCTTTAAAATGGTCTTTAGTTTGTTTATTTTAGGCTTGTGGTTGAGGTGTGTGTGTGTTTGGTTGGTTTGCATTAGGGCTTTTTTTTTTTTTTTTACAAAGGACTCGAAGCAAGTCTGAGCAGTGCTGCTATGGAAAATATACACATTAGGGACTCACTCTGTACAGTGCTTTGGTCTTATGATTGACAGCATCATTTGCTAATGATGACGGTTTGAAAAATGCCAAACATTAAAATTTGAGAATCAATTGCGTGGTTAAATTGCACCAAAATTCTTCTTGCATCTTTTTCCTATTGGATGGTAGGTTTTTCATCCTTGTGTGGTTGAAGGGGGAAAACAGTTATGTAAAAGTAAAACAGGTTGTGTGATAATGACTATGTTTTGACAACACTGTCATTGTTATTACAGAGCATTTTTTAACTTAGTATAAAATTTTAAACTCTAGTTAATGTCTACAAAATGGTGCTTTGGGCTCTTTGGTCCTGAAACAATGAATCGGGTGGGATTACACTGACCTGCTAATCTGCAGTGTTCATCCTTTTCCAATAGTTCGCACGCAGGAGCAAATTAAGTGTCTATTTTTTGTGTCAACCCTGAAGAGTATCTGGTTTTTCAGCCCTTAGTGACTTGTTAACAAACAGGTATCAGGACCGGCTGGTGAAGGCAGGCCGCTGGCCAGTCAGATGTGAAATAGCATCTCTTTACTAACTACAGTATTGATTCCCGCCTACCCTTGCAAACTGTGTAATTTTCTTTTCCCTGCTGCTAAACTCAGTAACAATGTATGAAGAGCTTTAGGGGCCCATCAGTGCTCAAAAAGGCTGCTCTTCCCTGGCATTCTATTGATTTTTCTCAAAGGCTTTTAAATTGCTCCTTCATTTTACTCAAACGCTCATTTCATCTCTACTGGATGCCGGCGTTTTTTCGTTGTGTTTAAACAATTGCTCCATTCACTGAGTTCCTAAACTGTGACGCCTTCTTATTACTGGGAGATAAACTGTTTAGACAGTTTTCCTTAATCTTGGATTAATCGTTCCTGTATCTGAATTGTGCTGTTCTGTATTCCTTCACTTCAAAAAAAAAAAAAAAAAAAAAAAGTCTGTGAGGTCTTATGATCTATCAAGGATATGTGTTCTATTTTCTCTATATATACTTCTCCTGCTCAGTCCTTGCACAGCTTCATTTTTCTCATGATTTTTGGTGTGTTGGATTTTAATCAGTCCTTGCTTTCACATACGGTAGTACATGAGATGTAACCTTTCCTTGGCAAATTGCTCTAGTATTCCTAAACACTGTATTCTTAAGGGAGGACATTGCCTTTGACCTTCCTGAAATGTTGTTACCAATATTTGTCACACTCAGTGACCATCTTGGTGTGTAAGTGAAATCATGTAGTTGTTTAGGACTGTTTATTTTTCTGTATCTACGTAGATATTAAATAAGAGTAGTAGACATTTGGTGTTACAATTTCTGCAGGCAAGAAAGGCTGACTGACATATGGGAACAATATGACAAATGACTGGCAATTACTGGTTGTCAAAATACACAATTCTGACATTTATGCTGAGTCTGGACCACGTTACTCTTTGAAGCGGTACTTGCTACATTTTTTTCCGACCCATATGCTCAAAATCTTTATGATGCAATGCGATTTTTTTTCTAAATTCCCACTTGAAGATAACCGTCCTCTAGCCACGTTTTTACTTTCTACTTTGTACTATGCTACCTTGTTCTGATATGCAGAACTCTGTACCGAAGGCGAAAGACCAGTGCTTCCTCAAAGAGTTTACAATCAAAATAGTTCATGCTTTTTCCCGTGGTGGCACCTACAGTCAGAATCTGTTTACCATGTATGATTGGATTCTGAAGCATTAAGGTTTTGACTAAATCATAAAACAAGTTTTTGGTCAGGTAAATTAACTCTTGTGCTATTGTCAAGAGAAGAAACTTAATTTAGATAATTAAACTGAGGAAGTGTCGGATACTTAAAAAGTAGTATCTTTTTCAGATGCAAAATTGGGCTTGTGGCAACAAGGTCATGTCTTATTCAAGAACGCTCTTCAAGTGTCAGATACCAGTTCATGTTTTGAAGCAAATAGGATTCTTTGATGCAGAAATGTTACAATGCTGTCCCCCTGCTCTGCTCAAAAGTTGACCTATTCCTTTTTTTTTTTACAGTTTTATTCTTTAGCTTATTCAGAAGTTATTTCTGGAGATAAGTTCCTTAGCTATGTTGTTGACATTTTGTTCAATTTCTAGGTAATAATCGCTCTGTTTATGTCATCTCTCCTACATGGAATAGTTTCCTTGGAATTTTGCTACTGTGCTACTGCGGAAACTTGACTTAAGTCTTCCTACACGGCAGTTTTATCTACAGCAGCTAATAACAGATACTAATCCCAGACTGGCAGGGCTTTTTCATCAAGATCTGTCGTTTTGGCTAACTGCTTTACCCTCCCCTTCCTTTGTGTACGTAACTTGCAGCACAGTGACTCTGCCCTCGCCTAGCAGTGATGGGAACCTCTACCTTAGGAGACTGCAAATTCTACCTGGGTTTGGAGTTTCCAAGTGCATGCTTTTTCTTTTAAACAGAGTGGCGAGATCCGGAATTCATGAGAGAAGTTGAAGCAGCTACAGGAATGGATCTTGGTTCCTCTAAAAATGCTGGAAAAGGAGGGAAAAAGAAAGGGAAGAAGAAAAAATATCCAAATCTGACAGACTTGAAGCAGCAGGCTAACACTTCTCGTTCCCGGCTTGAGAAGAAAGTCTTCAATAAGTAAGATGCTTACATTCTCTAAAGCCCGTTAAATTGCTGTTTCCCTTTGTTTCAGTGGTACTTTCTGTTGCTGCATTAATACGCACTTACTAAGCAACTTTCTTTGCTAACTGCAGAGAAAGAATGCCTTCCATATCTCTGGAGGGTAAAGAGTAGCGGGTACTGATGAGCAGGGTTATTTCTTTGAAAATGATTTTCAGCTAATTTACAAAATTTCCCTATGAAAGATTGGGTTTTTTCTCATCCTTCTCAATTTTTTCTTACTCCTTCAATTGCTGTAGTGGCTTCTCTGGATGATCATTTATTGATCAGATGAATGCTACTTTATGTGTTCAAATGGTACTAGATCTGGAAAGAAGATGATGTGTTCAGAGTGACACAACTTACAGCATCAGACACACTGTACTGGTGTAAATGGAGTAAAAATGAAGTTTTTCCTTTTGAAAGCCTAAGATGGGCTGCCCTGAGCAGAACTTCAGTTAATAAAAGGATCTGTCAAAAACCCTTGGCTTTTGGCATGTAGCAGTGTCTTGGAGGTTGCCCTCAAGCCTCTGGTGTATGCTCAGAGACCATCCCAAACTTCTGACTGCTGTCTGGGCTTCCTGTGTGTCTTCTCTGACTCTTGGGTATACTAAATGGGTAGCTGGGCCCGGTGCAGTGCCTTCCAATCCAGTATGTACACACAGTGATCCCTTCCTGTGTATTATTCAGTGACACACTACCATTGCATTTTTCTCCTCCTTTACTGAGAATGCATTGGATTGGTTAAGAAAAATATTTGGATCCTCGTCTTATGGTCCTTTTTCACTTAACCCCTGTTGTGTTTTGTAAGGATCAAGGACTGGAACCTGCTGCAGGTCTCTCTTCAGTGTAAGAGTTTGGAGATGATGGTACAAGATGTCTCTTGTACCAGAGACATGTGGACACAGTATTCTTCCCACGATGGTGCTGTTTCTGTACATCTCCCTTTCCTCCCAGCATACATGCAAACAGTAGCTCTTGGTCTACATTTAGCTTGAGAAGAAGCTGTTTGGATGGCATTGGCATTTAGGCATTTCAAACAAAGGTGTGTCCATGACTTATGCAGACATATGAATTAATTTCGAAGTTGGAGCCCACCAAACCACCAAGCTGAATGGGTTTTAAAACATGTAGTAGCTCTGTATGTCCACTCTGTTATGCTGTTTCTGGTATCTGGTCTTGCTTAGATGTGGCTGCAACGTAAAGTTGCCTAGGCATCCTCTGGTCTTCATCAAATGGGAAGTAGAAACAGCTATTTAAAGAGTTTCACATGCCAAAAACGAAGCAAAGAGAAGTGAAAAGTGTAAAGTTGACAAATCAAAAAAGCACAATTATTGTTACAAAATCATCTGGGTTATTTCCCTAAACATACTAGATGAGTTGAACAGCATCCAAGGCACAACATTTGTATAAATTCTATTTTCTCTTTTCTGATGTAACGGTTATAATAATGAAGCCAAATCCACATTACAGAAATAGCACATTTTCTGTGAAATTCTCGTGTTACCTGAGCTTACTTAGAAGTCAGAGACACACAGTTCTAATGATCAGAATTTCGTATTGGCTTTAACAAAATAAATTTTAAAAGCTGGTTTTGGTTTACTATAGTTTGTGCTAATGATTTTGAGTGTGTGTTAGTGCCAGGCATAGGGAATCAAACCTGTTATGTTTTAATAGGTTTCATGCTTTGCAGCACTAAACAAGGTGATAACCTTGGCTCCTTGTAACAACCCCAAATTACTTGAAATGTATAGGTGATAAACCCAGGCTCTGGTCTGCCAATAAAGTTAAGTGAAATTGCCCACAGATCATCAAAGTGGGATCTCATTTCATTTACAGTATCGCACAATCCAGTGGTGCTAATGTAAAACCTACATGACATGAAAGTGTCAAGGCCACTCTACACTGCTAAAGGCTCATTTTTCTCCTACCAGTTAGGCAATATTTGAAGTGCAAAACCATGACCACATTTTCCTCACTCTGGAAACGTTATTGGCAGAATTTTCTTAAAAATATACCTCTTCCAAGGTGTTTGTTTTTTTTTT